AGTCACAATTGCAAGCTCTGGATGTTGTGCCAAGTTGTTGATGCCTCCATCACCTCCGTTGCTGCTACTACCTGTTGCTGTTTCTCCTTCTCGGGGTTCAATGTGTATCAGGCAGAAGAGGAAAAAGGGCAGGGACTGGCATGGATGAGGAGAGCAAGGCCTTGCTTGTTCCAAGAATGTGCAAATGTCTTCAAAAGCATCGCAGCCCAGATTTATGATCATCTTCAGCTATATTAATTCCATCCTAGAAACTCGCTGATGCCAACTTGACAAAAGACTTGGGATTTTGCTCCAGGCCAGGTTAGCAAGTTGTTCCATCGCCGCCAGCAATTTCCATATTGGGAGGTCACAGCCACTGCTGTCTCCTGGATCAGGAAATCCGCTCTGTACTTAATTCCTGGTCCCCTCATATTTTGAGTTTGCACTAGCCTCAGCCCAGCTTTTTAATTGCTCTGAACAGACAGGATTATTTTTAATATATATGTGTTATTGTGATAATTTTATGCCTATGGTTTTTTTGTTAATTTTATGTTATGCTGTTTACTCTGTATGTTTTGGTGATGTTGCTTGGAAACCGCCCTGAGTCCCCTCGGGGAGATAGAGCGGTATATAAATAAAATTCCCCCAGGCTGAGCCAGACCTTCAAATGCTAATGAAGGCGGTCAGTTGAAACATTCACACCCAGCTCCAGCAGAGAAGAGCTCTTTGTCCCACCCTGGTCATTCCACAGATATATAAACCCATTTTCCTAATTCCAACAGACCTCACTACCTCTGAGGATGCTTGCCATAGATGCAGGCGAAATGTCAGGAGGAAATGCCCCTAGAACATGGCCATATAGCCCGAAAAAACCCACAAGAACCTAAAGTAAAGTAAGTTTCCCCAGATATTGCAAGAACTGGCATAACCACCCCTGGATGCTCCTTGCTTAAGGAAACCCTATGAAACTCAAGTCAACTGGTGTCTTGAAGGCACTTGCATGAAAACTAGTCGACAACCCACTTGTGTCTTTTGTATTGCATTCTACTTGCCAGTGTTAATGGTTGCTGCCACCTAACGGTCATTTTGTACAATGACAACCTTTTGTCAATGGCTGCAACAACCGTATTACTACTTTATTTGTACTAAATAAATTATACTAAATGTCCTTTGACCAGTAGCTGGCCACTTGGAGTGTCTCTGGTGTCACTGTGAGAAAGTCCTCCGTTGTGCATGTGGCAGGGCTTGGGCTGCATTGTAGTAAGTGCTTTGTGGTTTGCTCTTCACACTCGCATGTCGTGGATTCCACTTTGTGTCCCCATTTCATAAGGTGGGCTCTGCATCTCGTGGTGCCAGAGCGCAGTCTGTTCAGTGACTTCCAAGTCGCCCAGTATTCTGTTTGCCCAGGGAGGCTTCTCTCATGTCCCGCATCATCAAATCTGCTACAAAACAGGAGCTTTTTTGTTGAGCTGTCTTGGACAGCAATGGCTCCCAAAGTGACCAATTTAAGGCGGAATCAGGTGTCAAACAGGTATGTGTTATTGCCCCAACTTTATTCTCCATCTTCATCACTATGATACATCACCTTGTTGATGGGAAGCTTCCCACCGGAGTGGAAATCATCGATCGGACAGATGGCAAGCTGTTTAACCTCAGAAGACTGAAAGCCAAAACCAAAGTTACAACATTTGTTATAGAACTCCAGTATGCTCACTCTTGCGACAAAGGCAGCTTGTTCCCCTACCACGTCATTCATTCCATGCTTATCTCCACATTTTGATTAATCTCACCCAGCGGAGAGCTTTGGTATCTCCAAGATGCCATGTGGTGCCACTAACTCTTTTGGATGCGTCTGTGCGCATTCAGAAGAAGATCTACAAGCCACTCTAAACACCTTCGCAGAAACATACGAGGAGCTCAGCCTGTCATTGAACATCTAGAAAACCAAAGTGCTGTTCCAGCAGTCACCGGCCAACCCTTCTCCAATGCCAGAGATACAGCTTAATGGTGTAACATTAGAAAATGTTGACCATTTCCGCTACCTTGGCAGCCACCTCTCTACCAAAGTCAACATTGACACTGAAATTCAACACCGCCTGAGCTCTGCGAGTCCAGCATTTTTCCGAATGAAGCAGAGAGTGTTTGGGGACCGGGAAATCCGTAGGGAGACCAAGGTGCTTGTTTATAAAGCCATTGTCCTCCCAATCCTGCTGTATGCCTGTGAGACGTGGACAGTCTACAGATGTCACATGCAACTCCTGGAACGATTCCATCAGCGCTGCCTCTGGAAAATCCTGCATATCTCTTGGGTAGACAAGTGGACAAATGTCAGCATGGTGGAAGCAGCAAAGACCACCAGCATTGAAGTGATGGTCCTCCGCCATCAACTCTGCTGGACCGGCCACATTGTCCGGATGCCCGACCACCATCTCCCAAAGCAGTTGCTCTACTCCGAACTCAAGAACAGAAAATGGAATGTTGGTGGACAGGAAAAGAGATTGAAAGATGGGCTCAAAGCCAACCTTAAAAACTCTGGCATACACACTGAGAACTGGGAAGCCCTGGCCCTTGAGCGCTCCAGCTGGAGGTCAGCTGTGACCAGCAGTGCTGGAGAATTTGAAGAGGCATGAATAGAAGGTGAAAGAGAGAAACGTGCCAAGAGGAAGGCGTGTCAAGCCAACCCGACCGGGACCGCCTTCCACCTGGAAACCAATGCCCTCACTGCGGGAGAAGATGCCAATCAAGAATAGGGCTCCACAGTCACCTACGGATCCACCAGAACACTGATCCTGGAAGACTATCCTACTCGACCAACGAGGCATCATCTAAGTGAAGTAAGTGACCCCCAGTTTGAGAAATGCTGATCCAGAGCTATGCAGGTACAGCTGTACCAGGAGCTCCAATTTTTGTTTGCTTTGCATTGAATGTTTGTTGTAGTCCTAAGTTTCAGGGCTCTGTAGATAGGTGGCTTCTTTTGGCTGCAATTATTGGGCAAGCCACCTGTCAATTATCGTTAGGTTCCCTGGTCCCGCCCCTTTTTGAGTTTTGGAGGGAATAGGAGCCATTTTGGCTCAATCCACACAGAAAAGCTTTCCACGCAGGACATAATACCAAGAGCTCTTGTAGAAAGCTTCGTCTTCTACAGCTTGGCCGGGGTTATACAGCCCATAGCTTGGCCGGGGAGAAAGGTCCCATAGCTTGGCCGAGGATTATACAGCTTTACAGCTCCTTCACTATTTATTTATCGTGTCATCCGCAACCAGAACATTCTATTACATTTCTAATAGAACAAAACAAACAAACAGATTAAAAAAACACACACAAATTTTGCAAACTTGGTAGCTGATTAAATGTCCTTTGACCAGTATCTGGCCACTTGGAGTGCCTCTGGTGTTGCCGCAAGAAGGTCCTCCATTGTGCATGTGGCAGGACTCAGGTTGCATTGCAGCAGTGGTTTGCTCTTCTCCACACTCACATGTCGTGGACTCCACTTTGTAGCCCCATTTCTTAAGATTGGCTCTGCATCTCGTGGTGCCAGCGCCTTCCAAGTCACCCAGTCTTCTGTGTGCCCAGGGGGGAGTCTCTCATCTGATATCACCCACAGATTGAGGTGCTGGGTTTGAGCCTGCCACTTTTGAACTCTCGCTTGCTGAGGTGTTCCAGCGAGTGTCTCTGTAGATCTAAGAAAACTATTTCTTGATTTGAGTCGTTGACGTGCTGGCTGATACCCAAACAAGGGATGAGCTGGAGATGTCTCTGCCTTGGTCCTTTCACTATTGGCTGCTACTTCCCGGCGGATGTCAGGTGGTGCGATACCGGCTAAGCAGTGTAATTTCTCCAGTGGTGTAGGGCACAGACACCCCGTGATAATGCAGCATGTCTCATTAAGAGCCACATCCACTGTTTTAGTGTGGTGAGATGTGTTCCACACTGGGCATGCATACTCAGCAGCAGAGTAGCACAGCGCAAGGGCAGATGTCATCTCTGTGTCTGGTTGTGATCCCCAGGTTGTGCTAGTCAGCTTTCGTATGATATTGTTTCTAGTATCCACTTTTTGCTTGATGTTCAGGCAGTGCTTCTTGTAGGTCAGAGCACGGTCCAGAATGACTCCCAGGTATTTGGGTGCGCTGCAATGCTCCAGTGGGATTCCTTCCCAGGTGATCTTCAGAGCTCGGGATGCTTCTCTGCTCTTGAGATGAAAGGCATGTTTTAGATGGATTAGGGGAGATGTTTTAGATGGGTTGGGGATCAGCTGGTTTTCCCTGTAATAGGCAGTAAGAGCACCTAGAGCTTTGGAGAGCTTCTGTTCAACCATCTCAAAGCTCCCTACTTGAGCAGTAATGGCACGATCATCAGCATAGATGAAGCTCTCTGTCCCTTCTGGCAATGGCTGGTCATTTGTGTCGATGTTGAACATGGATGGAGCAAGCACGCTCCCCTGAGGCAGGCCGTTCTTCTGTTTCCGCCATCTGCTTCTCTGGCCCTGGAACTCAACAAAAAAGCTCCTGTTTTGTAGCAGGTTTCCTATGAGGCGGGTGAGGTGGTAGTCCTTTGTGATATTATACATTTTTCTCAGGAGGAGGTGGTGGTTCACAGTATCTGCTGCTGACAAGAATACTGGTTCTGGAAGACTATCCTACTCGTCCAACGAGGGATAGCTAAGTGAAGTAAGTGACCCCCAGGTTGAGAAATGCTGATCCAAAGCAACACTCAGCTACTTTTTTGAACTTAATGTGAGCTAGAACTAGATCCATGCCTTGACATGTCCTTCCCAAGGAATCAGACAGACATTCACACATGGCTTAACAGAGAAAATGCCTTTTATTCAGGAAAGTAACAAATGCAAATACTAGAAAACACTTGTTGTATAGCCTGGGCATCAGCGAGGAAGAGAACTGTTTATCCCCAAAACCAGGAGAAACAAAAAAAAGAGGTCAAACAGTGCAACTTGGAGAGGGGATGAGATGAACGAAGGCCGGGGAAAGGGGCATTCACTCTTTTTAAGTCCCTAAAGTATATCCCCCCCCCCCCCCCCAACAGCAGCAACGTCTTAAGTGAGTACTGAAGATAACCTGGACATAATGATGCTGTCAAAGAAATGCAAACTAAACTTGAGGGCGAAGAGTTCCGCCGTGCATGAATCTATACTGTCTCTTGATGCCATCAGACTTTGCGCATTACAACAACCAGAGTCCCGTATCTTTCCCGGAAATCAGGGCTCCTTTCAGACACAAGCAAATATCAGTTTATGGTCAGCACGTCGCTCTGGATCTCGTGGCTCAGCTGCGTTTGGAGGTCACTCAGCTTCTTTTTCAAGCCAGAGAGGGCCGAGAGGACGATGGTCTCGGGCCGCAGAGAACCACAGGATTCCACATTGTAGTAAAACCTGGGAGAGGAAACAGTAAGAGGAAGAAAGAAAACAGACTGACAAAATCACCACAAAGTGGATCACAATAGCCTATTTATGAAACATGGCCCTCCTTGGAATGTGGCACACTAATGAAGGATAGATACATCGATTGATTGATTAGTCTACTGATCCTATCAACAATAAAATACAACAACAAAAATACACAGACCAATAGACACTAATCACTGTGCTAAAACTCCGTAACAGTTAACTAAAATACCGTATATACTCAAGTATAAGCCGGGTTTTTCAGTCCTTTTTTTAGGGTGAAAAACTCGAATCAAAGTTATTTATCATTTTACTCTGCTATTACTATTATTTTTCTTACATTTACTTATTTTACTCTATTTATTATTGTATTTACATTATTTTACTCTATTATTATTGTTATTACATTTATTATTTTTCTTGATTTTTATTATTACATTTATTATTTTCCATAATTTTTATTATATTTATTATTTTCCTCTATTCATTATTATTATGTTTATTATTTTACTCTATAATTATTTTACTCTATTAGTGTTATTATTAAATATATTATTTTACTCTATTTTATTATTACATTTTGTTTTACTCTATTCTTTTTATTATTACATTCACATTATTTTATTCTATTATTTTTATTAAACTTTTTTTACTCTTTTTAAATTATTCTTATTACATTTATTATTTTACTCTATTTACTATTCTTGTTACATTTATTATTTTGATTTATTATTCTAATTACATTTATTATTTTACTCTATTTATTATTGTTATTATTACATTTATTATTTTACTCTACTGTTACTATTACATTTGTTATTTTACTCTATTATTATTATTATTATTACGCTATTATTTTACTCTATTTACTACTGTTATTACATTTATTATTTTGCTTTATTACTCTTTAGTTATTATTTTACTCTATTTATTATTGTTATTATTACATTTATTATTTTACTCTACTGTTACTATTACATTTCTGTTATTTTACTCTATTATTATTATTACATTATTATTTTACTCTATTATTTCTGTTATTGTTACATTTCTGTTATTTCACTCTATTATTATTATTATTATTATTATTATTATTATTATTATTATTATTTTACTCTCTTATTATTGGAAGGATCCGTAAGCACATTTATACTGAAGGAGGTTAGAATAATGGTTTACTCAGAGTTGGACAGTCTTATCTTAACTTACAGTTTTATGTAAATATTCAAGACATTTAGCCTAGTGATGCCTCAATTAATGTAATTTTATTGGTATCTATTTTTATTTTGAAATTGACCCATAGCTGCTGCATTTCCCACACTTGGCTTATACTTGAGTCAATCAGTTTTACCAGTTTTTTGTGGTAAAATTAGGTCCCTCGGCTTATGTTTGGGTTGGCTGATACTCGAGTATATACGGTAAATGAAATTAGACACTCATGGTCTGAAATTCCAATCAGGTGAATGAAATAGACTGTGAAATCAATTATGATTATGATACCATCACATTCTTACCTTTCTGGCTTTCCGTTTGGATCATACGGAGCCTGTGCTTCATCTTCATCAATTTCAGAGTATTCACTCTTTGGCCTAGAAGGAGAAGAATAGGACCTAATGAACTCATGCAAAGCCTACTGATCAGCATTCAGTAAGGAAAATCGATAGCGAAGGCAGGGCCCAATTTGCCTGGAAACGCACCATTCCTCCGGTTTTGGGTAGACGGTGTGCCGCAGGGCGTTGTCCGGGTCGTACTCAAAGGCCACCCCTGCGGTGGGATTCCACTTGGCGTGCTCCTTGCCAAAGCCCTTCTTCGCGTAGGCCCGAAGCCTCAGTTCCTGCCCTTTCCGCAACTTGACAATGAGGATGTCTAAAGGAAACGACAACAGCGCAGTTGGCTTTCCGCACGTGAAGGTTTCACTTTTGCATATTTGAATAATATGTTCTCTCTAAAATCTTCCAGTGTGACTGATGCTTTAGGGAACTTATTCCAAAAGTTGACCACAAAATGATGTGTGGTGGGGGGCTAAAGCTTCTTAGAGAGAACACATTTCTGTGTGCTTGCAGGTCTTCCACTGCAATTCCACGGTCAGATTCCAGAAGCTGGCCAAAGAGTTGTGCTGGAGGATGTAGATACTCCCAAAGAGGCGTTCTTAAAAAACAGGAATGTTTTTATTTACAGAGCTATCTTTAAGTTTTTTTAATTTACTGTATTTTAAATTTTTTATTTATAAACTAGCCGTCCCCTGTCACGCGTTGCTGTGGCCCAGATAATTTATATGTGTTTTGTATGTGTATATATGTGTATTTGTGTATATGTGTATATCTGTGTGTATTACCCTATCTGGTATATTCAATACAGCAGACTTTCAGAAATACAGAAAAAGAGCACTGTTAATAGACTACTTGTCTCAAGTGTTGAGCTTTTTGATACGCAAATATATACACACGCAAAACACATATACACAGACTGGACCACAGCAACACGTGGCAGGGGACGGCTAGTGTGTGTGTGTGTGTGTTTGTGTGTGTATGTATGTATGTATGTATGTATATATATATATATATATATATATATATATATATATATATTTGTTAGGGGCATCCAACGAGGAAACAAAACTCAAAAACCCCCCAACGAAACTTAACCAAAATTCCCATGCCCATAACACAACCCACAAGGTACAAACATATCTACTCAAAATGAAAAACAACACAACAACACACTCACAAAACGGCAAAACAACAAAACTCAAAAATCCCCCGAAACTTAACCAAAATTCCCATGCCCATAACACAACCCACAAGGTACAAACATACCTACTCAAAATGAAAAACAACACAACAACACACTCACAAAACGGCAAAACAACAAAACTCAAAAATCCCCCAACGAAACTTAACTAAAATCCCCGTGCCCATAACATAACCCACAAGGTACAAACATACCTACTCAAAATGAAAAACAACACAGCAACACACTCACAAAACGGCAAAACAACAAAACTCAAAAATCCCCCAACGAAACTTAACCAAAATCCCCGTACCCATAACACAACCAACAAGGTACAAACATATCTACTCAAAATGAAAAACAACACAACAACACACTCACAAAACGGCAAAACAACAAAACTCAAAAATCCCCCAACGAAACTTAACTAAAATCCCCGTGCCCATAACACAACCCACAAGGTACAAACATATCTACTCAAAATGAAAAACAACACAGCAACACACTCAAAGAAAGAAGAAAGAGAAAGGGAGGTAAAGAAAAAGGGGGAAGGAAGGAAAGTTAGAGGAAGAAGAAAAGGAAAGAAAAGGAAAGATGGAAGGAAAGAAAAGAGAGACAGCAGAAGAGAAAGAAAAAGGGGGAAGGAAGGAAAGAGATAGAGAAAGAAGAGGAGAAGGAAAGATGGGAAGGAAGGAAGGAAGGAAGGAAGGAGGGAGGGAGGGGAGGGAAAGAAGGAGAGAAAGAGGGAAGATTGGCCACAGCAACACGTGGCGGGTAAAGGTTGTTATTTCTATTATTATTATTATGATGCTATTGTTCCTATGAGACCCTTTTAGGGGGAATGGGAGAGCTGTCAGGTCCCAGAGGCAATGCATTGCATTATTGTTATTGTTATGATGGTGGTGAAATAAAAGGAAATAAAAAGTGAAAGAAGGAAGCAAACAGGGAGGGAAGAAAGGCAAAGGAAGAAAGGGGGAGGGAATGAAGGAAAGAGAGAAGGATGAAACCAAGTAGTGAAAGAAGGAAAGAAAGAAAGAGGTAGAGAAGGAAGAAAGGAGAGAAAGGGGGAGGAAAAGGGGGAAGGAATAGGTAGGTACCTCTCTTTCATAATAGTCCAGATATCTACCTCAACTTTGATAAGTTTTACTACAGGCCACAGCAACGCGTGGCAGGGCACAGCTAGTATATATACACACACACACACACACACACACACATACACTAGCCGTCTGTGTTTTGCATGTGTATATATTTGTGTATATGTGTGTTTGTGTTCATATATGGTTTTGTGCATGTGTTGTCTTTTTTTTTGCTTTGAAAGTATCTTCTGCTTTGTTTTTCACTGTTTTTATGAGTGATGGTCACTCGTTGGCCTAAAAGGTGTATCTTGTCCAAATTTGGTGTCATTTTGACCAGTGGTTTTTGAGTTATGCAAATCCAGCAAACTGACATTACATTTTTATTTACTGTATATACTCGAGTATAAGCCTAGTTTTTCAGACCTTTTGGGGGGCTGAAAAAGTCCCTCTCAGCTTATACTCGAGTCAAGGTTATTTATTATTTAACTCTGTTATAAGTACGTAATACATCTATTACTATTATTACATTTATTATTTTACTTTATTGTTATTACTACATTTATTATTTTACTCTATTTATTCTTATTGTTATTATTACATTTATTATTTTACTCTATTTATCTTATTGGAAGGGTACGCAAGCACGTTTAGATTGAAGATGGTCAGAACGGTTTAATCAGAGTTGAGCAGTCTTACCTTAAATTACAGTTTTATGTAAATATTCAAAAACATTTAACCTCCTGATGCCTCAATTAATGTAATTTTATTGGTATTTATTTTTATTTTGAAATTTACCAGTATCTGTTGCATTTTCCATCCTCGGCTTATACTCGAGTCAATCTGTTTTCCCAGTTTTTGTGGTAAAATTGAGTGTGTTGGCTTATATTCGGGTCGGCTTATACTCGAGTATATACGGTATATAGATTTGTATATATGTGGTTTTGTGCATGCACTGTATTTATTTATTTTTGCTTTTTAAGTCTCTTCCGCTGTGTTTTTTTGTGTTTATATGAGTGACGGTCACTCGTGGGTCTGATAGGTGTATTGTGTCCAAATTTGGTATCAATTCGCCCAGTGATTTTTGAGTTATGTTAATGCCACAAACGAATATTACATTTTTGTTTATATAAATTTATCAAACAAAATGTATAAGCATAAATTCTCCCCTCTTTTTACAACATCTTAGACAGAAGAGTATGTCATATTCTATACAATCTAACAGTAAAAAGCATATTTTTATCATTTTTTAAACTTTCAATCAAAACTTATACTAAGTATATCACTACCACACACCTTTTATCTACTTATACATGCTTTGTTTCTTTATAATTAGTATTATACCATTTTTTCCACTCTTCCCCTTACCCTTAGTTTGCGCTCCCTTCACCAGGACCAACCAACTCATGTTATTTCACAATTCCAAAATGTCATTGTTTCTGTTGCTGGCTTATACCCCTTTCCCTCATTAAAAATATACTCAATAAATTTCCCCCATATTTTCCAAAAATCTGTTTGTTTCCATATTATCCTTTTAATTTTAATATTACAAGTTAGCTTATCATTAATAGCTATATTCCAAATTTCCCTATACCATTCTTCTAATTGAATTTCTTTTTCTTTCTTTCCAGTTTCCTTTTTGCTGTTATCAGGTTTACAAACCAATTTTTTCTCCTCTTGTGATGGAATTGTCTTGTCATGCATAAGTAATAATACTAATTTTGGTGTAATCTTGATCTCTATTTTTTATTCTTGGTCTTATTTCTCTGAATATGCTTTCCCAAAAGTTTTGTATAATTTTACATATGAAAGTATGTCCCTATTTCCTGAGAACTTCTCCAACACTGATTTGAGTATTTTTTTTTATCAATCTGATTTAATCTAATGGGAGTTAGATACCACCTTCATATCGTTTTATAGTAACTTTCCTTGATTCTTATAGACATATTTTTACTGTATTTATGTCCTGCCTTTCTCAGCCCCAAGGGGGACTCAAGGTGGGATATAAATGCTAGGTTATCTATTTTGGATGTCTAAGGCAAAGGTACCATATTTTCCGGCAGACAAGGCAACTGGGGGTATAAGACGACCCCCCAACTTTTCAACACAAAATACAGAGTTAGGGATATACTCGCCGATTAAGACGACTCCACATTCTATGGAGACCGGTTGCAGGTGATGACTCACTGGGCTGCTCTACTTTCAAGGCCCTCTTCTGCCCTGCTGCTCACCTTCTCCGAAGGCCACTGGGCTTGCCTTAGGCCCAAGGAAGCGCCTCCAGAGGACGACTCCTAGCAGTCCCGGGCGGCGGCATGCCTGGGATGTGCTCACTGAGGCATTCTGGGAGACATAGGAGTCAGGGAACTATGGTTCCCCGAATGCCTCAGCCAGCACATCCAAGGCACGCTGCAGCCCCGGACAGCAGTGTGCCTTGGATGTGATCGCTGAGGCATTCGGGGAGTCGTAGGTGTCAGGAAACGCTATAGTTTTCTTAAAGGCTGACACTTCTTGGGAGAGTCACTCTAAGGCTAAGGGTGAGACTAAATCACTTCTTTCAGGCCTCAGCCTCTTTGTGTACATACCATCCTGTTCAACGTAGTCGTTGGGATCATTATCTCTGCTCCGGGAGGTCACCTGCATGGAGCAAACAGAACACAAGGCATTGGAAGACTGTTTACCTTTTTGCAGGGATCCCCACTCAGATGCTGTGACTCTTACACGGAGCTGAAAAACTACATCTTTGAACAACCTGAGACCTACTGAGCTGCCTTTTGTCAATACGTTTAGCACTTCAGCATGGGATTTTAACTAGAAATGAAATGTTCCTTAATGCACTCTCCAATGGTTTTGATACAGCTCAATCTACTCTCACTCAACCTTTTTAACTTGTATGCAGAACACATCATGCGAGGATGTGCAGGGCTTGAGGAATGCAAAGCTGGGGTGAAAATTGCTGGAAGAAACATTAACAACCTCAGATATGCAGATGACACCACTCTGATGGCCGAAAGCGAGGAGGAGCTGAGGAGCCTTCTAATCAAGGTGAAAGAAGAAAGCGCAAAAGCCGGGTTGCAGCTAAACATCAAAAAAACCAAGATTATGGCAACAAGAATGATTGACAACTGGGAAATAGAGGGAGAAAATGTGGAGGCCGTGACAGACTTTGTATTTCTAGGCGCAAAGATGAGTGCAGATGCAGACTGTGGCCAGGAAATCAGAAGACGCTTCCTTCTTGGGAGGAGAGCAATGTCCAGTCTCGATAAAATAGTAAAGAGTAGAGACATCAGACTGGCAACAAAGATCCATTGCCTAGTCCAAGCCATGGTCTTCCCTGTAGTCACCTACGGATGTGAGAGCTGGACCTTCGGGAAGGCTGAGCGAAGGAAGATCGATGCTTTTGAGCTGTGGTGTTGGAGGAAAGTGCTGAGAGTGCCTTGGACTGCGAGAAGATCCAACCAGTCCATCCTCCAGGAAATAAAGCCCGACTGCTCACTGGAGGGAAGGAGATACTAGAGACAAAGCTGAAGTCCTTTGGCCACATCATGAGGAGACAGCAAAGCCTGGAGAAGACAATTATGCTGGGGAAAGTGGAAGGTAAAAGGAAGAGGGGCCGACCAAGGGCAAGATGGATGGATGGCATCCTTGAAGTGACTGGACTGACCTTGAAGGAGCTGGGGGTGGTGACGGCCGACAGGGAGCTCTGGAGTGGGCTGGTCCATGAGGTCACGAAGAGTTGGAGACGACTGAACGAATGAACAACAACAATCTTAATGCTGTCAAGACGTAACAGTAAGTGTCAAACAAAAATCAGATGGGTTGCTGTGAGTTTTCTGGGCTGTCTGGCCATGTTCCAGAAGCATTCTCTCCTGATGTTTCGCCTACATCTATGCAGACATCCTCAGAGGTTGTGAGGTCTGTTGGAAACTAGGCAAGTGCCCTGCTCTTGATCCCACCACTCTCGCAAACGCAGTTGTTGAGGACGAGAGACAGTGGCCCCCCGTCTGTGGAACTCTCTCCCTAAGGACATCAAGTTGGCCACCTCCCTCCTGTCCTTTAGAAGACAACTGAAGACCTGGCTCTGGGGCCAGGTGTTCGATTAGAGGCCAGCGGCAATAGGAAAAGGAAATTTGGATTTTGTGATATGGATTCTCCCGGCTCGGCGTGGTTTTACTGGCACATAAATCTATTAATTTATTGTTAAATTTTACTGATGATGTTGTATACTGTTTGAAAATGATTTTATTGTGAATTGTAATTTTTATGGTATTTATGCTGTTAGCATCCTCTGATGCTCATGTGAGGCCACGCTGAGTCCCCCTTGTGGGGAGAAGGGCGGGATATAAATATAGGAAATAAATAAATAAACGAGGTTTATATAGCTGTGGTGGGCTAAAGAACTCTTGTCTCCATGAGGCAAATGTGAAGTTGCAATTGGCATGTAATAGTCCTGCAGCTTCAAAGCCTGGCTGTTTCCTGCCTGGCCCTGATTGTTTCCTGTCTGGAATTCCCCTATTTGGGCTCTACAGGTCAATGGAGACTTCAATCACGACATCAGAAGAGCTACAAGACCAAGAACAAGCCTCGAGAGTCAAGACCAAGATCTACCCAGACGAAAAGTGTTACCAATCTGGACACAGCATATTAATTGAGAACACAGAAATGCTGGACCACTCTCACAACCACCATGTCAGACGACACAGAGAAGCCACTGAAATCCACAAGTACGTGGACAATTTCAACAGAAAGGAGGAAACCATGAAATAAATAAAATCTGACTACCAGTATTAAAAAACTCCAAAATCAGGTCAGTAAATAAAGAGCAACACTCAAAAACAGGGGAATTCAAGACAAGAATCAATCAGAGCGAGCTAACACCTCCCAACAAAGGACACCCCCCCCCAGGCGGGAACCAGCCAGGCTTTGCAGCTGCAAGGTCATTCAAAGCTAATCAAGGCGGCCAATTGCAACATTTATGCTTGCTTCCAACAGACAAAAAGTTCTTTCTCCCACCCTGGACATTGCACAGATATATAAACCTTTACTCGCCTCGTTTCCAACAGACCTCACAACCTCTGAGGATGCCTGTCATAGATGTGGGCAAAAAATATTTATTTATTTATTTACAGTATTTATATTCCGCCCTTGTCACCCCGCAGGGGACTCAGGGCGGATTACAATGCACATATATATGGCAAACACTCAATGCCATTAGACATACGACATATATAGACAGACACTCAGAGGCAATTTAACATTCCAACTTTCCAGCTTCATGAGGGTATGCTCAATTCCAGCCACAGGGGGAGCTGCCACTTCACCATCCACTTGTGATACTGAGTCCTTGATGGAGTACTTCCTCATTCTTATGCACATTGCTGGAAGGGTTTATGGTGTTGTAAATTAGCTAAATTAGCCTCCCTGGATAAAGCGGAACCTAAATTTCCTACTTGACAGATGCAACTGTCTTTTGGGCCACATAGGTCAACAGCAAGCTAGACTGTTAATGGTCAGGAGCTCACTCGAACTCATGACCTCTCCGTCAGTAGTGATTTAATGCAGCTGGCTACTAACTAGCTGCACCACAGATATGTCCCATGTCCCAAGCTGCCTTAGGATTTTAAAATGAGTTTTTGAGGTAAACATTTTCCCTTCTTCCAATACCGCTCTTCCCTTAGCTCCCAAAAATGACTGTTTGGATAAGAGATCTTTCTGTGGTATCAGGATGTTGAAATGACTGGAATTATCCGAAAGGATTACTGATAGATTGAGGGAACGATAGAGACCTTTTTGAAAGTTAAATAGAAAAAGATTTATTTATAAAAACAGACAACTAACTTCTTCTTCTGAGAGGCACAAAACACTTGACTTGTTACAAAAGTACAATAGCTTGATGGTTGCTTGAAAAGAGTTTCTTCACTTAGTTACATACAGAGCTAATCAAACAGATCTAGCTGCTTACAAAAATCCCTCTACTTCAGCGAAATAGTAATGAGTTACTGACTAACCTATCTTAGGCAGTCCCCTGAGTTATCAGCTAACTCTTCCCAGAGTTCTTCCTGATAACTAACTCAGTCTAGAGAGCTAATCCCTTGTGCTGTCTCCCACAAGAAAACAGGTAGCTGCCTGACCTTTCCTGTCAGCTAATCAGCCCTGCCTGACACAGACACTCTCTCTCTGAAAACCCAGTTTCAAAAACACTTCTTCTCCCACCAGCTCCCAATTCTCATATTTCCACAGAAGCTGAAATCTTTTCCCTCCTCAGACAGCTCCTCCCATCTGCCAATCCCAGAAGACCTCAAAATCCTCCCATCTTCTAGCTATCCTCACTCAAGATGGCTGCTTCCCTGGCATACACTCTCAAAATGGAGGTTTGCCATACTGTTATCCAGGCTGCTTTTCCAGGCTACTAGGTAATATTCACTACAGCTACCCAATAGGATATAATGTTCAATAGCATCAAATGCTACTGGGAAGTCCAGCAGAGCCAAAAGGGACACTCTCCGTCTATTCAGTTCTCTGAATAGGTCATCAACCAAGGCAACCAAAACTGTCTCCAGGCTGGAAGCCAGAATGAAATGAATCTAGATGATCTGCCTTGTCCAGAAATCCCTGGAATTGAAAAGCCAACACATGTTTCATAATCAAGTATTCAGCTGCAAATGCTTCTGGAAGATGGCCAGACAACTCGGAAAATGCACAGCAACCCAGTGATTCCAGCCATCAAAGCCTTCGACAACAAATTATTTTATGTGCCAAGCAAACAATGCTTTTTGGGTTCATTTTGATTGACAGAAAGAGAGCAAAAGGATTCGGTTAAGATACAAAGCGGAAATATTGTACTGACTGGTATAACTCGAGGGTTGTTGGAGATGAGATCACGTGACGTGACGTGGCGGGTCTGGTCTTCGTTGCATCGCACGTCCAACGTGAACTCTACTGAGCACTCGGGACAAAACTCATCGCAGGTACAGTCCTGAACAGAAAGAAAGAGAAGAGGCCCATTTCCCATCAATTCAGCACCACTAATTCCCTCCTCTGCCTCTATATGAGCCTGATCGTAATGGTCTCACCCAGTGCTATTCCCATACTTGCCATTCAGGCAGCTTAAAGTCACTGTGACTGGTGGCCATTCAGACTTATTTTCCATAAACAGATATCCTTGAGCTATTTTAACTTTAGTATTCAATGATGTACAGCAACAGAACTGCCTAAGAAGGGGGAGGAATTAGACCAAAACTTCTCTTTTATTCCTAACCGTCCCCTGCCATGCGTTGCTGTGGCCCAGTCTGTGAATATGTGTTTTGTGTGTGTGTGTATATGTGTTTATGTCTATGTATATATTTGTGTATGTGTATATTTGTGTGTGTATATATATGTGTGGGTTTGTGTATATGCATATATGTGTGTAGGTGTATATGTATGTATACTGTAGGTGTATATTTGTGTGTGCTTGCGTACATATATATATGTGTATATATGTGTGCATGTGTCTGTGTATATTTCTGTGTTTTTATGTATATTGTGCATATGAGTGTGCTTGTGTATATGCATATATGTGTGTATGTATGTGTATGTGTGTACATGTATGTGTAGGTGTGTATATTTGTGTGTGTATATATATGTGTGTATTTATGTGTATATTTGTGTATTTCTGTGTTTATATGTGTATATGTATATTGTATATATGTGTTTGTGTATATGCATTTATGTGTGTAGGTGTATATGTATGTATACTGTATGTGTATATTTGTGTATGCTTGCGTACATATATATGTGTGTATATATGTGTGCATGTGTCTGTGTATATTTCTGTGTTTATATGTGGATATGTATATTGTGCATATGTGTGTGCTTGTGTATATGCATATATGTGTGTGTGTAGGTGTATATGTAGGTGTGTATATGTGAATATTTGTGTGTATTTATATGTACATATTTGTGTATTTCTGTGTTTATCTGTGTATACGTATATTGTGTATATGTGTGAGTTTGTGTATATGCATATATGTGTGTAGGTGTATATGTATGTATACTGTATGTGTATATTTGTGTATGCTTGCGTACATATATATGTGTGTATATGTGTGCACGTGTCTCTGTATATTTCTGTGTTTATATGTGTATATGAATATTGTACATATGTGTGTGCTTGTGTATATGCATATATGTGTGTATGTATGTGTATGTGTGTAGGTGTATATGTAGGTGTGTATATTTGTGTGTGATGGCATATATAAATGTTTGTGTATGTATGTATGTATGTGTGCATGTGTATATGAATGTATGTGTATATGTATATATGGTTTATTTGGGGGGGGGGGGGTTTAAAGTTCATTCTGCTGGGTTTTTTGTGTGTTTTAGGGGTGATGGTCACTCGTTGGCATCAATTCACCCAGTGGTTTTTGAGTTATGTTAATCCCACAAACGAACATTACATTTTTATTTATATATATTCCAAGAAAATAAGGCCTCCACCCACTGAGACTTAGACTCACCCTGGAATATTGCAGTTTATCAACAACATCATCACTGGTAAGAGGGATCAGACCTAGCGAGAAGTAGAGAAAGTAGTGAAAACACATATAGACTCAGGTGCAAGATAAAAGACAAACACCTAGGAAGAAACAAGATATATTCTGGTTTCAAAACCATGGGAGATTTTCATGATCTAATTATTGTGGTTGTATATTGTTTGGTGTTTATCTGTATGGCTTCTTGTATTTTATTTTTATTTTATTATTTATTTATATTGACATTACATTATTGTATTTTTATGCTGTATTTTTGCTTTATTGTATTATCAGGCTTGGCCTCATGCGAGCCGCTCCGAGTCCCTTGGGGAGATGGTGGCGTGGTATAAATAAAGTTTATTATTATTATTATTACTACTACTACTACTACTACTACTAGCCGTCCCCTGCCACGCATTGCTGTGGCCCACATGGGGGTTCTGTGTGGGAGGTTTGGCCCAATTCTATTGTTGGTGGGGTTCAGAATGCTCTGTGATTGTAGGTGAACTATAAATCCCAGCAACTACAACTCCCAAATGTCAAGATTCTATTTTCCCCAAACTCTACCAGTGTTCACATTTGGGCATATTGAGTATTTGTGTAGAGTTTGGTCCAGATCCATCGTTGTTTGAGTCCACAGTGATCTCTGGATGTAGGTGAACTACAACTCCAAAACCAAAGGACACTGCCCACCAAACCCTTCCAGTATTTTCTGTTGGTCATGGAAGAACTGTGTGCCAAGTTTGGTTCAATTCCATCGTTGGTGGGGTTCAGAATGCTCTGTGATTGCAGGTGAACTATTCATCCCAGCAACTACAACTCCCAAATGACAAAATCAATTTTTTTGAGTGAAGGACATACATTGGCCTGATATGTGTCTTGTGTCCAAATTTGGTGTCAATTCATCCAGTGGTTTTTGAGTTCTGTTAAGTCCACAAACAAACATTACATTTTTTATTTATATAGATTATTATTATTTATTACATGGAATCACATGGTTCACAGGCCCCAGAATTCCCAAAGGGCATAAAACATAAGAAAAAAAAATAGCAGGAGAAGAAAAACTTGGAGATATTACTCAAAATGTAATTAATAATGTTGAATGTTAGTAAAATCTGAAAAATTAAATGTGTTGGGCATTACACTATTTTATGAAAAATCCAGAGATAGAAAGAGCCTCGGCATCAAAGCATTGGAATGTATTTTATTTGAATTACGCTCATAATAAAATATTGTTTTAAAAACAAAACTAGAGAAGCCTGTGTTTTCCTATCGTGTCTTATGCCGGTTACTCACCTAACCTATGTGCAATAAACTCATCATGGAGGACCGAGGAGTTGGCATCTATCTGTACCCAGTCTATGGCTGCAAACAAAATAGTACAAAATGAGATAATAGCAATTTGATTAATCATGCTCAAAGTCTTCAATTCGTAGTATTGGACTTTAACATACTGTTTATGTATACATATAAGAATTTGAGTCCCAACATTGAATGTTTGCCGTATATATGCTGAGTCCCCTTTGGGTGAGAAGGGTGGAATATAAATGTTTAAAATAAAATAAATTAATAGAAAAATAATAAAGAATAGATAAATACCGATGGTGGGAACTTCAGCAATGAACACTCTCCTGATGGAATTAGCTACTCTGGAAAAGAAAAACAGAGAAATATTTATTGTTATTATTATTAGCAGTATTATATGTATTTATATCCTCCAACACAGAACCCCCATGACCACCAGAGTGGGCCACAGCAACGTGTGGCCGGGGGTGGGGGGGCGGCCTGGATGACACAATTTTTGACACAATACACCTCAGTCCGAGTGTTCATCACCACTAAAAATACACCCCCCCCAGCAGAACAGACTTAAACCCCCCAAAATGCACCATACACACACACTCATATACATAAACACATGCACACACACATACACACACATAAAAATATACCCAAGCACACACAACTATACACACACATACATCTGCACACACACACACATATACATGCACAAATATACACATGCACACATACACACACATATAAACACAAATATGCATATAGACAAGCACACACATATACACAACATACATATACACATATAAACACACAAATATGTGCACACAAATATACACATCTACACATATGCACACACACACACACACACATATGCAAACACACATATACACAGATACACAAATACATATATACAGAAGGGCCACAGCAAGGTGTGGCAGGGGACAGCTAGTAAGTACATAACTAAATAAATCTGTAAGTCTTAAAAATTCTGTCTAAACATTTTGTAGGGGATAATAATAATAGTAAACGACACCACTCCGCTGTTACTCGAACTCCACTGGCTGCCGATTAGCTTCCGAGCACAATTCAAAGTGCTGGTGTTAACCTATAAAGCCCTAAACGACTCCGGCCCCGTTTACCTCTCTGAACGTATTCTCTCCCCTACGAACCATCAAGACCACTAAGATCGTCTGGAGGGGCCCTGCTCTCGGTCCCACTGCCTGCACAAGCACGGCTGGTGGGGACGAGGGACAGGGCCTTCTTGATGGTGGCCCCTCGACTTTGGAACTCCCTGCCATTAGAGATCAGAACTGCCCCCTCCCTCATCACATTCAGGAAATTAACAAAGACCTGGTTGTGGAACGTGGCATTTGACAACTGATTTAATTCTTTGCCCACATGAAAGGAGGATGATGAATGGGATTGTGATGGTGTTGGACAATTTGGGTCTTTTAACTGGGATAATAGTGTTTTAATGTGTATGGTGCTGATATTTTAATCGTGTAATGAAGTAGCATTGTGTTGTTATTGTATATTCTTTGTATGTTAACACATGTTGTGAACTGGTCCGAATCCCTCTTTGAAGGTGAGAGGGTCGGTATATAAAACCTCGAAATAAATAAATAATAATAATAAATATGCACACGCACACACATATATTTATTTATTTACTTTGCTTGTATACCGCAATTTCTCAGCCTTATAGGCGACTCAACGCGGTTTACAACAAGAGCAAAAGTCAATCCAACAGGATACAAAATTTAAAAACCATTAACAGAATAATATACAAAATGACACATCAATAACAACACATTAATGTCTCGTAAATAGAATCGTGATCCAATTTGTCTTCCATAATTCCGTTTCCTATATTCATCGTGTACACTGCATTGTTTAACCGAACGCCTGTTCGAACAGCCAGGTTTTTAGTTTTCTTCAAAACACCATTAACGAAGGGGCTGATCTAATGTCCATGGGAAGGGCGTTCCACAGCTGAGGGGCCACCACAGAAAAGGCCCTGTCCCTCGTCCCCGCCAGCCGTGCCAGTGATGCAGGCGGGATCGAGAGCAGGGCCTCCCCAGAAGATCTTAGAGTCCTGGTGGGTTCATAAGCAGAGATACGTTCGGATAGGTAGCTTGGGCCAGAACCGTTTAGGGATTTATAGGCCAATGCCAGCACTTTGAATTGAGCCTGGTAGCAAATCGGCAGCCAGTGGAGCTAGTGCAGCAAAGGAGTTGTATGCTCCCTGCGCTCCGCTCCTGTTAGTAACATGGCTGCCGAGCGTTGGACTAGTTGGAGCTTCCGAGCCGTCTTCAAAGGCAACCCCACATAGAGAGCGTTGCAGTAGTCTAAACGGGATGTAACCAGAGCGTGGACTACCGTGGCCAAGTCAGACTTCCCAAGGTACGGACGCAGCTGGCGCACAAGCTTTAACTGTGCAAATGCTCCCCTGGTCACCGCCGAAACCTGGGGTTCCAGGCTCAGCGATGAGTCCAGGATCACACACATATATACACAGATACACAAATATACACACACACATAAACACATATATATACACACAAATACATATATACAGGAGGGCCACAACAACGTGTGGCAGGGGACAGCTAGTAAGTACATAAATAAATAAATCTGTTAGTCTTAAAAAATTGTCTAAACATTTTGTAGGAGATAAAATAATAATAATATGGGACTATTTCCCAAGCCCTAATAATAATAATAATAATAATAATAATAATAATAATAATTATATGGGACTATTTCCCAAGCCCATAATAATAATAATAATAATAATAATAATAATAATAATAATAATATGGGACTATTTCCCAAGCCCTAATAATAGTAAAATAATAATAATAATAATAACAATAATAATAATAATATGGGACTATTTCCCAAGCCATAATAATAACAATAATAATAATAATAATAATAATATGGGACTATTTCCCAAGCCCTAATAATAGTAATAATAATAATAATAATAATAATAATAATATGGGACTATTTCCCAAGCCCTAATAATAGTAAAATAATAATAATAATAATAACAATAATAATAATAATATGGGACTATTTCCCAAGCCATAATAATAATAATAATAATAATAATAATAATATGGGACTATTTCCCAAGCCCTAATAATAGTAATAATAATAATAATAATAATAATATGGAACTATTTCCCAAGCCCTAATAATAGTAATAATAATAATAATAATAATAATAATAATAATAATATGGGACTATTTCCCAAGCCCTAATAATAGTAATAATAATAATAATAATAATAATAATAATAATAATATGGAACTATTTCCCAAGCCCTAATAATAGTAATAATAATAATAATAATAATAATATGGGACTATTTCCCAAGCCCTAATAATAGTAAAAATAATAATAATAATAATAATAATAATAATAATAAATAATAATAATAATAAGGGACTATTTCCCAAGCCATAATAATAATAATAATAATAATAATAATAATAATAATATGGGACTATTTCCCAAGCCCTAATAATAGTAATAATAATAATAATAATAATAATATGGACTATTTCCCAAGCCCTAATAATAATAATAATAATAATAATAATAATAATATGGGACTATTTCCCAAGCCATAATAATAATAATAATAATAATAATAATAATAATATAGGACTATTTCCCAAGCCCTAATAATAGTAAAAATAATAATAATAATAACAATAATAATATGGGACTATTTCCCAAGCCATAATAATAATAATAATAATAATAATAATAATAATAATATGGGACTATTTCCCAAGCCCTAATAATAGTAATAATAGTAATAATAATAATATGGGACTATTTCCCAAGCCCTAATAATAGTAATAATAATAATAATAATAATAATAATAATATGGGACTATTTCCCAAGCCCTAATAATAGTAATAATAATAATAATAATAATAATAATAATAATAATAATGTGGGACCATTTCCTAAGCCCAGGAGGAGGCCTGAGACGCCTCCGTGCCTGAGTGGGGCAGCAGAAGGACTTGAGGCCCCGGCTTCCCTCTCCAGACTAGGCCCTGCCCCTCCTCCACACAAGCCCTCGCTCACGCCAAGTCCGTGTTCTCCACGATGAACTTGACGTTCTCGTCGCTGAGCTCCGTGATGCGGACGGTGGGCTGGTTGGCGTAAGGCATGGCTGGCGGGAGAACCAAACAAGGCCGCAAGAGCCTGCAACACCACGGCGCATGCGCAGCAGGAACCAGGCCGGGATTGGCGCAGGCGGCGAGCGCCGCGGGGGCTGCTGGGAGACGCCGGCCGCGCTCTCCGCCAATCGGGGAGCAGAGCGGCGCCGACGTCATTTCCAGGCGGAGGTCGGCGGCGAAACAGGGAGGAAGCGAGCAAGGTAGGCCCTCGCTGACTGGAAGGCGGTTCTTCTCCCATTGCAGGCTCCCTTCTCTCTCTCTCTTCCTCCCGAGAGCCCTCTCACACTGTAATGCTATAGCCCGGCTATAATATTATACCATGGCAACGTTCTGAGGGGTTTTGTGGTGTGGCGAGGCCTAGGCATGCCTGAGAAGCCCTTATTGCCAGCCTCATTGCCCTCTCGCATGTTGCCATGGCAGCCAAAGCGGGATACTCAGTTCTTGTGGGTTTTTCAGGCTATATGGCCATGTTCTAGAGGCATTCTCTCCTGACGTTTCGCCTGCATCTATGGCAAGCATCCTCAGAGGTAGTGAGGTCTGTTGGAAATAGGAAAAAGGGTTTATATATCTGTGGAATGACCAGGGTGAGACAAAGGAATCTTGTCTGCTGGAGCTAGGTGTGAATGTTTCAAATGACCACCTTCATTAGCATTTGAAGGCCTGGCTGAGCCAGGGGGAATCTTTTGTTGAGAGGTGTTAAGATGTGCCTGATTGTTTCCTCTCTGCTGTTTTGCTGTTGTAATTTTAGAGTTTTTTTAATACTGGTCGAAGTCTTTCATGGCTGGAATCACTAGGTTCTTGTGGGTTTTTTCGGGCTATAGAGCCATGTTCTAGAGGCATTTCTCCTGACGTTTCGCCTGCATCTATGGCAAGCATCCTCAGAGGTAGTGAGGTCTGTTGGAATAAGGACAATGGGTTTATATATCTGTGGACGGGCTGGGGTGGGGCAAAGAGCTTTTCTCTGCTGGAGCTAGGTGTGAATGTTTCAACTGACCACCTTCATTAGCATTTGAAGGCCTGGCTGAGCCTGGGAATCTTTTGTTGAGAGGTGTTAAGATGTGCCTGGTTGTTTCCTCTCTGCTGTTTTTGCTGTTGTAATTTTAGAGTTTTTTAATACTGGTAGCCAGATTTTGTTCATTTTCATGGTCTCTTCTTTCTGTTGAAATTGTCCACATGCTTGTGGATTTCAATGGCTTCTCTGTGTAAAACTCTAAAATTACAACAGCAAAACAGCAAAGGAGCAGAATGTTTGTGAGGGAGAAACTCATTAAAATGGGTCATAAAATATACCTTCATACAGGTGAGGAAATATACTCTGAGGACAAAAACTGTTGAGGGGGAGCAACTGTGTATGATAGTATGGCTACTCTCCAAAAGCCAGGTTTTGAGATCCCTCTTGAAAGTGTTTAAGGTGGGTTCCTTCCTAATCTTGGATCTAGTGCCTTGATCCAAGGAAGTCATGCTCCCCCTGCTCTATTCTGCCTTGGTCAGACCACACCTGGACTCACACTGTATCCAGTTCTGGGCACCACAGTGGAAGGAGGATGTTGACTCTAAGCTGGAATGTGTCCAGAGGAGGGCACCTAAAATGATCAAGGGTCTGGAGAACAAACCCTATGAGGAGCGGCTTAAAGAGCTGGGCGTGTTTAGCCTGAAGAAGATAACGCTGAGAGGAGATATGATAGCCATGGATAAATATGTGAGAGGAAGCCACAGGGAGGAGGGAGCAAGCTTGTTTTCTGCTTCATAGAATCATAGAATCCCTATGTTGGAAGAGACCTCATGAGCCATCCAGTCCAACCCCCTGCCAAGAAGCAGGAATGTTGCATTTAAATCACCCCTGACAGATGGCCATCCAGCCTCTGTTTAAAAGCTTCCAAAGAAGGAGCCTCCACTCACTCTCCGGGGCAGAGAGTTCCACTGCTGAACGGCTCTCACAGTCAGGAAGTTCTTCCTCATGTTCAGATGGAATCTCCTCTCTTGTAGTTTGAAGCCATTGTTCCGCGTCCTAGTCTCCAGGGAAGCAGAAAACAAGCTTGCTCCCTCCTCCCTGTGGCTTCCTCTCACATATTTATACATGGCTAGCATATCTCCTCTCAGCCTTCTCTTCTTCAGGCTAAACATGCCCAGCTCCTTAAGCCGCTCCTCATAGGGCTTGTTCTCCAGACCTTTTATCATTTTACTCGCTCTCCTCTGGACACATTCCAGCTTGTCAATATCTCTCTTGAATTGTGGTGCCCAGAATTGGACACAATATTCCAGATGTGGTCTAACCAGAACAGAATAGAGGGGTAGCATTACTTCCCTAGATCTAGACACTATGCTCCTATTGATGCAGGCCAAAATCCCATTGGCTTTTTTTGCCGCCACATCACATTGTTGGCTCATGTTTAACTTGTTGTCCACGACGACTCCAAGATCTTTTTCACACGTCCTGCTCTCGAGCCAGGCATTGTCCCCCTTTCTGTCTCTTTGCATTTCGTTTTTCCTGCCAAAGTGGAGTATCTTGCATTTGTCACTGTTGAACTTCATTTTGTTAGTTTTGGCCCTTCATCTCTCTAATCTGTCAAGATCGTTTTGAATCCTGCTCCTGTCCTCTGGAGTATTGGCTCTCCCTCCCAATTTGGTGTCGTCTGCAAACTTGATGATCCTGCCTTCTAACCCTTCATCTAAGTCATTAATAAAGATGTTGAACAGGACCGGGCCCAGGACGGAACCCTGCGGCACTCCGCTCGTCACTTCTTTCCAGGATGAAGAGGAAGCCTTGGGGAGAATCACCCTCTGGGTTCGTCCATTTAACCAATTACAGATCCACCTCACCGTAGTTTTGCCTAGCCCACATTGGACTAGTTTCCTTGCCAGAAGGTCATGGGGGACCTTGTCAAAGAAGGCCTTCCTGAAATCCAGGTACGCTCCATCCACGGCATTCCCCGCATCTACCCAGCTTGTAACTCTATCGAAAAAAGAGATCAGATGAGTCTGGCATGACTTTTTTTTGATAAATCCATGTTGACTATTAGCGATGACCGCATTTGTTTCTAAGTGTTTGCAGACCACTTCCTTAACATCTTTTCCAGAATCTTGCCTGGTATCGACGTGAGGCTGACCGGACGGTAGTTGTTTGGGTCATCCTTTTTTCCCTGGAGACTAGGATGCAATGGAACAATGGCTTCAAACTACAAGAAAGGAGATTCCATCTGAACATTAGGAAGAGCTTCCTGACTATGAGAGCTGTTCACCAGTGAAACTCTCTGTTCCAGAGTGCGGTGGAGGCTTCTTTTTTGGAAGCTTTTAAGCAGAGATTAGATTTGAGATATAAACAAACTATCTTTGGATATTGCAGCTGTAATCTGCTATTGCTGAAAACCTCTTTCTCATTATCTTAGAGACCATTATTCAGGAATAGGTGGCCTGTGTATGTGTATTCCCTGCATTTATTATTGCCTTGCAGACATCCCCTGATTCTTTCCCCCATAACTGGTATTCAGAGCTGGACTGCTTATGGCTATAGGGGCATTTTTGTGAATAAATATATACCGTATTTGCTTCAATCAGAGAAGGCTTGAGGCATTGTAGAGCTACAGCTCTCAGGATTCCATAGCATTGAGCCAGGGCAGTTAATGTGGATTCATTCTAATGCATTGATCCGCCCCAAGGTTTTGTTTTCAATTGCTGAAGCTTTGGTGCACCAACACTTTTGCTTTTCAATAAGGAATTCTAAGCACCGGGACTGTGGTGCAGCTGTCTTAAGTGTCAGCTGCATTAAGATCACTTCTGGCCACAAGGTCATGAGTTCGAAGCCAGCCCGGGTTGGAGTGAGCTTCTGACCAATTGTGTAGCTTGTTGTTGACCTTTGCAGCCCGAAAGACAGTTGCATCTGTCAAGTAGGAAAATTAGGTACCACCTATGTGTGGGGAGGCTAATTTAACAAAATTTACGAGGCCATAAAAAAGACTCCAGCAAAGCACTCCAGCAAAAGCATGCGGGGAGTGTGGAAGTACTTCATCAGTGTTGCAGATAAATGATGAAAGCAACAGCTTCCCTGGCGGCCAGAAAAGTTAAATAGCTTCTGACTGTTTGTCTATATCTGTTGTGTGTCTTTGGCATGGAATGTTTGCCATATATGTGTACATTGTAATCCGCCCTGAGTCCCCTGCGGGGTGAGAAGGGCGGCATATAAATACTATAAACAAACAAATTTTATTTATTTATTTAGCAATTTTGTATACACCTCTCACCTCTGTCAAGGGACTCGGGCCGGTTTCCAATAGTAATATCACAAAGTCATTAAAACATCATTTTTCATATTAAACTAAAACATTAAAATAGCAAAATGCAATCAAATAATTACAATGGTCAGTCGTCACAATAAAATCGTTGTTCGTCATTCGTCGTCATCCTTCCATATCACAGAATATTGACTCACTCGTCGAAAGCCAATCGCCATAGCCAGGTTTTCACCTGTTTTCTGAACGTCAAGATGGAAGGGTCAGTTCTGATCTCCAGTGGGAGAGAGTTCCACTGCCGAGGGGCCACCACCGAGAAGGCCCTGTCCCTCGTCCGCACCAGACGCACTTGTAAGGCCGGTGGGACCGAGAGCAGGGCCCCTCCAGACGATCTTAACAATCTAGATGGTTCGTAGGGGAGAATACGTTCGGACAGGTAAACTGGGCCGGAGTCGTTTAGGGCTTAATGTAATGCACAGCTGCAAAAACAAACAAATAAATAAGCAGGCAGCAACTGTAATGACCAAATTTCATAGAATGCACTTTTTGCAGCTGTGCATTACATTCATCAGCAAATACTTCTTTTCGTTTCAAGGTTTTGAAAGTTATTATTATTATATTATTTATTTCGGTTTCTTCTACCCCGCCTTTCTCACTCCAAAGGGGACTCAGGGCGGCTTACAAAGGCACAATTCGATGCCAGCATCACATAACAGTAGTAACACAAAATAACGTCAATTAAACAGTTGAGACAGTTAATCAACAATTCCTGCATTACAGCCCTAAAACCAATAAAACCAATAAAAACGATACAAACCTAATTACTCCTCATAGACAGTCAGCGTTCGCTATCTCATAGTCCAAATTCTAATTCCACATTGTCAGTCCTGTCAGTCCTAGTCGTTTGATTGTCCTTATCTAGTTGTCAGATTGCCCAAAGTCCTGGTCCCACAACCACATCTTTACTTTCCTCC